TGTGTGTGTGTGTGTGTGTGTGTGTGTGTGTGTGTGTGTGTGTGTGTGTGTGCGAGCGCGCGCTCGTACGCTCTCCCTGACAGACTAATGACTAGTTTGTGCCTCTCTGTCTCTCTTGCCTCCTGTCTCACTCTCTTTCTTTCTACACATCTTTCTCTTGGAAATAATTAGCTCGCTCGCCCCTTCTCCAAAGATTACATCTATTATCACAAACTCTCAGGTCCCTGTTTTATTTCTTTTGTCGTCACTACATCTTTCTCTTTGTGGCGTGTGTCCATTGTTTGCACTGATCCCCCTTATTTTCTGTTTTCTTCTTCTTTCCTTAAGTTAGCATAGTGAATTGAGGGCTGAGTTGCGCATCCAAAAATAACACGCTCTCCTCCCCACTGTCCATAATGTCATAGTTAACTGTAAATGAAAGCTAATGCAGATTAAAGGTTGGAATGAACATGTCCTCCAGCTTCCTGGAGAAGCGCTGACTCTCCAGCACTGACGTCATCCTGCACGAATAGAAGTCGTCACAAATGCCCGAGCCATATTTGTCTCTTCTGCCGATTGGCTAGAGAAGAGATGCATGTTTTTGGGGAGTGATACCTTAACATGGTACTTCCTTTACAAGTAACAGACAAAAAGAAAGTTGGAGCTGTGCTTTTTTTTGAAGAATGCCGCTCGTGTCTTTCAGACGACCTGGCGTACGAAGTGCGTTGGTTCTTCACCAGGCTGCGTGGTGGACAGACGACGACCCAGGTGGCCAGTGTCGACCGCTTCGGCATCATGAAGAGGGAGGAGCGCAACTCCTCCAGCGAAGTTGCCATAGAGCGCAAGGACACGCACACCTACCTGATGAACATCTTCGGCACTCAGGACAGGTGAGTGAGTCATGTGTTTATGTGTAAACGTGTTACGCTCCCTGTGGGCGGGAGTGTTTGTCCCACATCATAGTTTCACTGCGGCGTCCGAACACGTGTTTGTCTTGTGTTCCCCAGTGACAGCGGTGAGTATTACTGCGTGGCCACGCCCTGGTACCTGTCAGCCTCCACGGGAGCCTGGACTCAAGGTGTAGAGCTGACGTCGTCCCGAGTCTTCCTCACGGTCCAGTTCGCTGGTGAGGAGCGAGCATGCAATTCACACACACGTCACCATAGCAACACTAATATCGTTGAAAAAGCTAAACTTTATTTCTGTCTGCTTTTTCTTTAGTGTGGGACTCTCTACAGTTACCTCTTCTATACGGTGCATCGGCCTCAATAGGTAATGTTACACATCCTTTGTTTAATTAGGATTTTTATAGATACAGCGTTATGTTAAATCGCAATGTGAAAGAAAGAAAGGTTCCTGCAGCTGCTCCTTTCTCCGGATCACGCAGACAGACAGACAGACAGACAGACAGACAGTCAAACAGGGGCTTCCTTGTAAGAGGTGATGTAATGAAACTTAGATCAAAACATTCCACAAGAGCAATATCTTCCAAAGTCGTTAAATAACGCTGATAAGTCAGATTCAACATCTGACCAGTCGACTGCTGAGAATGCATCAGCTCTGTAGAAGTGTCTTTCTTCCGATGCTGGATTTACTGTAGGCGATTGTCGGCAGCACAACTCACAATTTATCAACATCTGCTCCATATCTGCTGCAATGCAGAATCATTCATTGTTTTTTCAGACTGTAAAAGTCGAATGTTGAGCTTGATGCGTAGTTTAAATGCAGCAGCTGTTCAGACCTCGCACCTGCCCCAAAGTCACTGGAACAGGATGAAACTGCTCGCTGATGCTCGCCGTCAGCGTGGACATCTCCGCTGGAACTGCTGACTGATAGACCAGAGTTACTCTTCTTTTGTGCTGCTCTGCACTTCACTCGCTGACTGTGCTGTTATTCGGGACACGAGTCTGACAGCTGCAAGAATCTGATCAGTCTTTTTATAGCCAAAAGAAAATGATCGAATATTTTTTTAAAGGGAACTGATACTGCTTTTTCTGGTTGGGGGACATTCAACAAAAAATGTCTGTCCCCCTTCCAAATGCAGCTTTCAGCATGAGTCCGTCATTTTAAGGTTTTATTTTTGAGTCAATCCCTTAAAGTTTCATCCCAGTAGCAATGAGGAGGCAGCCAGAGAAGGGACAAGGGTTCAGTTGCAGTGCAGCCGGGGTTCTGGAGGAAATTAAGCTCACGTTAGATGTTGTGTACAGAAATGTCGTACTCTGACGAGTACCGCAGGAAGTCGTAGAGGGAAAATGGCTTCGTTTTAACTTTGTTGTGTTTCTGTAGGTGTGGGCCTCTTCTCTCTGGTTCTGGGTCTGGTTTGCGCCCATTGCTGTTGCCGCAACACCACGCACACTCCACGCTCACGCAACAAACTGATGGACCTGGAGATGGACTGACAAACACTTTCCCCCGCACCCTCACACTGCAGCAGCGCTCACAGGAAGCACCACACACACAACAGACACACGCCCGTAGACGATTTCTGGGACACGCAGCTGTTTCCGGGCGACGGACGTTGGGAGTAAAACGGTGTGCCGCTTCGGAAACAGTAGCGCAACTGAGGTGCTCTGGATTTATTAGCTCTGCAGTGGGGGAGCAGGGGACTGTTTGCTTTTATTTTTACAAGGACCGAGGAGGAAGTAGCCTTTGAGACTTGTCCACAGTTTGAATTTTGGAGGGACAGGAGACTTTTGAGACATCACTGCCACTTGGGAATAAAGGACCACTTACACATCTGCTGCCTCTGCAACCACTAGGGATAACAAGTGGAGCACTCAGGCTGGACGACATGCTTTCCTTTTTTTGATTTCCTCTAACGCCATGGCTTCCTGCAAAGTGTCTGTTCCTGATCCTGTTATTGGATCTCAGAGTCGAGGCACGCCAGCGTACCCTGTTGCATTTGTGAAGCTGGGGGGTGGAGAGACGGAGGTGGCTTTTCTTTTCACCTGTTTGTTTGGACTTTGTGTCTGCAAGGGTTTCAATCACATGGCTGAAGTTATTTTGTATTTGCGGAGGCTGATGTTTTAGGCAGCCCGAGCCTTATTTCTGTCCCGGACAAGGTCGCGGTTTAAGCGATCGTCTTCGTTCGGTCGGCAGAGGTCCAAGAAAACAAAAGTGCTCCACGTGTTTTCCTCACACGAGAGGTATTGCACTAGAACTCCCACCCCAGAGTATTCCTACCTTAACAAAGGGACAAGATAAACCTTTATTCTCACCTCTAGTTTTTTGAAAATTAAGAGATTTTAAATCAAGAGACATTTTTAAGCTTTACAAGGAGATATGCAGTTGGTGTGTGTTGTGTGTGAGAAATACTGTACGTGGTGCCAACATGTGAACAAACCGAGGTGTGCTTGGTTCATTTATGCCAGATCAACACTTGAACAGCCGCTTAAAGTGGCGACAACGAGCACTCTTCTTTTCTAGGTATTCAGAAGTGTATCCAGCTGTTATTTTTGCCTGAGTCTTGTGTGTGTTTTCGTACACCGTGTGTGAGCGCTGTGCTACAGTATGCGAGGCAAAGAGTTGCATGTACTGTTTTTTTTTAAAGGCGTAATGGTCATCCGTGAGTAACACAGGCCCCTTTGCAGGGTCTCGTTTTGATGACATCAAAGTGTCCCACATCCAGATCTTTAAACCCAGCTGTCACTCCCCTGATCAAGACACGACTGTTGTAACGAGACTGTGGGCGTCGCCAGAAACTTTCTGAGCAGGAAAATCTTGAGGCTTTTAGAAGAACTGGTTCAGCATTTTGAGAAATATGCTTATTTGCTTTTTTTTATTTCTGAAGACCTTTTTCACCCGAACTCTGGTGTCGCTGGTGTGGTTAGAGTAGCTTAGCATACAGACCGAAAACAGGAGCAAGTGGCTAATCTGGTTCTGAGAAACAGAAACGTTTCTACAAACGAAATGTAAAACTGACAATTTGCAATTGTATAACTATTTGTTTTGGCAGATGGAAAAAATTGGAGGATTAAACTCCTCTTTTAAATCACTAACTGTCGTTTTGTTCATGTACAGTTTAAACAAATTCAATACAGCATTAATAAGTGACATTTACGATATTACCTCCTAATTTGTTTAACGAAATGAGAACCAAACATCACTGAGACATTGTTGATGTTTTCCGCAGCTCGTCTAGCAGTTCCCCTCTGTTTCCATGTTTTTGTGCTAAGCTGTGATAAACATCTGCCGGACCCAATGTTGGCAAACAAGCACATGTTTTCAAAATGTCTGAGTGTTCCTTTGTAAGCGGTTTCAGAGATTCCAACTCCAACACAAGCTGCGCCCCCTTTTTCAAATAAATTAAGATGTTTTACCTTATTTTTCCCTTTTTCTTTTTAACAGTGCACTTAACAGGTAAAATTGAAAGAGATCACGTTTGAAATCTCTCACGACCGGCTGAGCCAGACATCTGTTGAGTGTGAATGAACTTGTGGTGGCTGGTGTATCGTGTTTGACCACACACACACACACACATACACACAGTTCCAGTAAAAACACACAACTTGAGGAAGTTTGTGTTCAAACTCAGCAGGATCCAATTAAAACTGTTAGTTTAGTAATAAGACGTGCCGGGCCGACTGGGCTGGGACAGAGCTTTGTTTTTTGCATTTGAAATAGATTTACAAGGTATTTAAAGCAACTATCAGAACTTTATGAGCAATATGAGACTTTTTTTCTTTATTTTAAACCAATATATGATCTGAATCAACTAAAAAGGAATGAAATCTGACGTCCACATTGGATACCAGAACAAACCTTCGATCTGTGCTGCTGTTTGGACGTTAGAGCTTGTTCCCCTGACTATTTTGTGAAATATTGATGATTATATGTGTGTTTTGGTTTGATTGATGGTGACGGAAACTTCCAGTAGGTCTCCATTAATCCAGCCCACTCTGTGTTAGTGCTGTGGCAATATTCAATATAGGTTTTTACCACTAACACACATACATGAGCTCACAGGTGAATAATAGGGCTCTGGGCCGAGTGCTTTTATCTCTTAAAGCATTGAGACACATCACTGAACACGTCACGGCAAAGCTTTCCCAGTGTCTTTTCATTTGATCATTTTATCGCAATGAGTATGATGAATTATGTCTTTTTAAATAAATAGATTTGTAAGATGTACTCATTTTGTAAATGGTTTTGTTTTGGTGACTATTATAAGTTGCTGTTATCGTTGTTGGCAACAAGGAAAAGCCATCGTCCCAGGGATTTCAGCATCGGCTGGGAGCCACTGGCACTGACAAGCTACATAAGAGTGGAGGGAAGAAATGCTGTCCCTTCCAATTTGGGAGGTGGGGGGGGGGCGTGTATAGAAATTATGTTTTAATATATGAAGTTGAGAGTAGTTGGAAGTCAGATTATTGAACTTCAGATGGAGTACAGATAATTGTTCTCAGTGTTTACAGTCTTAATGTTAACCTGGGTTTAACCTAACCACGATCCGGACTCAGCCGTGAACACAGACAAGAGATAAATATCAATCTAATAGATTTGCTCTTAGGCAAAAAGATAATAAGCTTTGGCCTCACTTTTGGGTTGCCATCTTTGTAGTCTTTGGTTTATTCCATTCTATAATGCTGTTTTCTTGGTTGGAAATGGACATTTGCGCCTATAGGGGGCGCTAAGTCGCGTCAAGTGTTTCGTACGCCACTGCTGGCACAGTGGATTTAGTCAAAATAAAGCGGCGGTTATTAAATTATGGCCGCCGTCCTTGTTGGCCCACATTTTACCCTCTTTCTGTTCAGACGTTTTTCCAGCGGCTCTGATGTGGTCGTGATCACAGCTCCTGCTCGGAGATTTGTGACAAATGTGGGCCAATTTGGTTTTCTTCTCCGTCTGCGGGCAAGCCATCAATCAGGTTTCTCTATGCTTCCAAACATCTAAAAAAAAAACACAACTTCAAAAAGTTCCCGCAGAATAAATGTTTTATAATTCAACATTAAGCGGCGGCTACGTCTCTCTCCCTCCACTCCCCCTGCTCTCTCACTTTCTCTACCATCCTCTTGTTACTCTATTTTATTTTCCATCCATTTATACTGTTTCTCTCACTTTGTCACCAGTCTCTCTTTCTCCCATTCCTCTCCACTTCCCCTCCATCGCACCAGTCCCCCCCTCTCACTCCTGCTCTTGATTAGAGATGCAGATGAGTTAAAACCTCGGCCGCGCTCCAGGATTCAGATTTTTTCACCTCTTTAACGACAGTCTCTCCATCCAGCTCTCCCTCTCTCTCTCTCTCTCTCTCTCTCCACCTCTCTTTTCTCTCATCTCCATCTCATTTGGAGATGAGAGAACAGAAAGATCCAATGTCGATTGGCTCCATATCTCGCTTCTCTAACTTTCGCTCCCTCTCAGGGTCCATTTGACCCAGTTTCCTCCTCCCTGTGTGTGTGTGTGTGTGTGTGTGTTAGTGCGTCTCTGGGATCAACGTGGCCTTGTCGTACCTTAAACCACTGTCTTCTCTAATTGACTTGGCTCTGTGTGTGATACACTCCATTCGGTTGTGGCTCTCACCACTCTTGCGCTCCTGCTGTTTTGGAGATGGCGCATTTCATCTGTGTTACCCCCGGTTTCGACTCGGAACGTGTTGCAGCTTGAGGGTTGCTCCACATAACAAAAAAAAAAATCAGACAGAAAAATTTAGCAGCGTGCGGAGGGGGAAGTAAGCCGCCTGTTCTCCCCGGAGTTTACCAGAGGCGACACGTTTCTCTCGTCTTCATTGTCATCAACACTGTTGTTTACAGCAGCTCCAAAACAGCCAAAAGCCTCGGCTCCATCACACCAGTCTGCTGCCTGTTAACGCTCCCAGTTTCTTTTAAACACACTGGTTTGATGCATTTTCTCTCTTGCATAATTCTCGTTCTAAAATTCTTGTCACAAGTATTTCACGCATGAGGGAGCACTAAAGCAGGAAGCAGGAGTTTTAGCAGTTAGCTGCTGTGTTGTGTTGAGTATGATATGTCTACTTTCATCTTACTGTTTTCCACCACTGCCCATTTTTCATCTGCAGAACACTCACCCGATCAACAGCTGTTCACCTGCAGGAGCGACAACAGTTGTGTGAGTGTGTCTATAGGAGAAAGATGCTTTGTGAGGCCACGCGCCCGATGCACGTCCTTTCCTCACATCTGTGCTGGAGAGGGTCGCTTTCAAATATGGGTGTGGTCCAACTAGTGAGTACTCTGATAATAATGTAGTAATGACCAGTGAGTACTCGTAGGTCTGAATATTGATGTACATGCTGGCTGGTGGTCCTCTCCTTCCCTCTGTCCTCCTCCGCAGCTCCAGCGTCTTTACCCACAGTGGCTCCAAAGTCATGTGACGCTACTGCAAAGTGTCTATTATACAAGTAAAGAGCTCCTCAGCCTTATTGCAGTTAAATAATTTAGCACGTACGCATGTATTTATCCATGTGAGAGTCTGAAGCTGAACCTTTTATAACTGGTGTGATTCTAGTCTGGCTTTCATCAACCAACAGAGCCTCTCTGGGCTCATGACATCAAAACTGGAGGAAAGGAGCCCCCCCAAAGCCTGTTATAATAAGCTTGGGACCCCCAAATCTCGCGGGCCAAAGCAAACACAGTTTGTTGCAAATAGTTCTCACTCCGGGGGTTCGAATTCCACCGCTTTGTCATGCCCACGTTACCCTCCCACTTCTGAAAGAGACCGTATAAGGATTATGACTTAATTATGTGACTGTCTAAATGTGCCGCTGAACTTTAACTAGTAAATCAACAGCTTCTGGTCTGAATGCAGTGAAATCCATTGAGCACAGTAGATTTGTCAATGTGCCTCTTTGTGATGTTTTAATTTGCTGAGAACTAATGACTCAAATTGTGGGGATGACCTTCATGTCACATGACCTCAAACTGTGACTGTTTGTTAAATTGCTGCACAGCGTGAATCTTTTCAGCACAACAATGCAGGGTCGTTGAGCAAAAAAATTAAGTTCAGCTGGTTCAGCTTTTGCTACAAGGTAGAATGACGTCAACCGGCAAAGCAACACAAAGCTTTAACAACCACCGTGCTCTGCTTTGGCCTCTGATAAACCATCATATCCATTGTCATGTTTATTAAAACTGGATCCTTGGATTGTCAGATGAGTGCCTGAAGCAACCGCCCCCCCCCCACCCACCATGTGTTGTTTGTAATAAACAACACAACCTTGCGGGCACCGCTCCACTCTCCTGTCTTGAAATATGGAGGACGGAGGCGAGAAGTGAGGGACACAGACGGGGGCGTGTTCAGATCGAATTGTGTCTGAGACCATGAGCAGCAGCAGCAGTCAAATATTGGTGTGGGGGAGCAGCGTTCACTGACCCCCCCCCCCAGTGTAAATGTTAATGTATGTGTGAGAGAGCATGCTCTCAGGAATGCAGCGATGAATCGTCAACACCTCCCCTCACCATGGAAACTATGTCAACACATGGGTGGGGGGATGGAGACTGTGTGTGTGTGTGTGTGTGTGATTTATTATTAGGTAGAAGATATTTGACCTACGTCTTCATTAGTCTCTCTCTTCCTCTCACACACACACACAGACATGGACTTCAGAGCAGTTAGATCCCTTCCACAGTCACTTTCATCCTCTGCAGACTTTAATTCAGCTGATTTCTAAAACATTCAACCACAGAAACATTAAGAGGGCAACACACTCAGACTCAGGCAGCGGGGGGGAGGAAAAAAGAAAGCAGGACCAGGCTTGTACTTTTTATTACAGATCGAGTGTGTGTGTGATGGATGAGATGCTGCGTAACTGTTCATCTACTGAGGAATCGATCAATAACACACGGAAAGAAAGAAACCTTGAACATGTTTGTGTTTCATAACCAGGACTGGACCGGGGAGACTTTATAGAAACAGACTTTCACATCTCATCTCAAAAGTAAATATTCGATTCTTTTTTTTTTTTTTTAGATTTTCTCTAATCTTTCCACTGCAGTTTTATTTTATCTCCCAAAACCAACCATAAGAGCATCATTTGAATATGCTGACATCCACTTTCCAAAGAGGTTCTGTGTGAGAACACAAATTTCAGACTCGGCTGCTCGGACATTTTTTCCCGTAACTTTTCCTGCCAAAAAATCTGATTGAAAATTCCTAGAGTGCGAGTTCCTAACATGCAATGAACACAAAAAGAATACAAATGTCTTAGATAACAAAGATTTGATTTGCTCGACAACGAGATACGAGAGCTTTTGGCGATGAGGCCCGTCGCTGGTGTCAATGCGATGTAAATAACCGTATCTGATTTCCGCAGCAGGTTTTAAACGTCACATCCTTCATGCTTTACACCGGCGCCACCCCTGCATGAATGTTGCTGACATTATCCTGCTGTTGTGACAGTATTGTACAGGCGCCTTATTCTGAAAAACCAGCCTTCAGACCCCACCTGTGTGGATCCGTCACAGAGCGGCAGACGCTCTGGCCCTCCTGCGTGTCCTTGTATGGTGCTGTGTCTTCAGCGTGGCACAGCTCCAGCTCTTCACCAGGCACACAATGCACACACATCCAAGTATACACAAATGACTGGTACTGTAAGTATGACTCCACATTGTCTCTCTCCTCATCTCTCTCTCTCTCTCTGCGTGTGGCGTGATGCCAGCTAATATCTCTCTGAGAGTCCAGGCTGCAGCGTCTGATGCTGCTCACACTGTTTACCTCTGCTTCCAGATGGTAAATGAAACTCTGTGTTTGATGGTTTTAAGATGAGGTAGAGGTAGGAATCCGTCTGAGGCTGCCAAGGAACACTAAAAGGTTCCTGCAACAAATATCAAGTGCATATATTTTCCCTTGAAAATGTTAATATCTCGTTTAGTGCTCATTAGAGACCGATACATTTAAAGACGGCATTATAAGTGGTAAAACTGCCTCCTGGGCTCAACTTTGAATCTATTAGTATGATATTATTGATTGTTGCTTCAAAAAAATGTTTGTGCTAATGTTTAGAAAACACGACTTTCCTCATATTGCTCCCTCTACCACCGACTTTGCACAACTTTTACATCCACACTAGAACACAGGAGTCCGCAGCAACTGACTCAGACATTTGCATTCTCACACACAGCCTCGGAAAAATATCAGGAAAATGTCCAGACTTCAGTGCTCGTCTCCTTTGGACTCCA